GTAGAAATATGGTAAACACCATTTTCTTCTTATTTTCGGTCCTTTGTTCTCAACCTCTGACAACTTGAACTCCCAATCACTCGAACCTTTTTTCAATTTTCCTTGAAGGTTCGGGACATCGGAAGCCGACTGTACGTCGCCTGAGCGGACCAGTAACAGACAAAGTCAATAGTTCTTCTTAGCAAAATGACTAAAACTTAGTTTTTCTTGTGCAATTGTTTTCAATAAACCCTAATCAAACCTAATATAAATTAACCATGTCATGTCGAGCAGGGAATTTTTCTGTCATAAACAGGATCCTCAAATTACAAATTCAAAATATCCATGCACTAATCGTTAATACATAAACAAGTGGAAAACGAATTTTCCATATACATGATTAGCTTTTACTGCAGTTTTTAAGATAACCAATGGACATAATTTTTTGTGTCCAAAAACAGCCATTTTCCCAAGTCTGATCCAATTTTCCAAGTGTGACCCTTTTTTTCAAGTATGACCCATTTTTCTGAGTGTGACCCATTTCTCAAAGTGTGACCCATTTTTCCAGGTGTGGCACTCTTGTTGCCAAGAGTGACCCACTTTTCAAAGTGCGACACAAGTTTTCAAGTGTGAATCATTCTTCAAAGTGTGACCCATTTTTGCAAGTGTGACCTATTTTTCCAAGTTTGTAACTTTTTTCCAAGTGTAACCCTCTTTTCCAAGAGTGACCCATTTTTCTAAGTGTGACCCATTTTTTCAAGTAAGGTCCCCTTTTTTCTAATTGTAACCCTCATTTTTTCAAGTGTGACCTATTTTTTCAAGTTTGACCCTTTTTGCCAAGTGCTACCCATATTTCCAAGTGCTACCCATATTTCCAAGTGTGACCCTTTTTCGCAAGTGTGCCCCCTTTTTTCCAAGTGTTGCACACTCTTTTCCAAAACTGTGCTCCATTTCTCGTGGTTTGAACCAGTTTTTCAAATGTGCCCCTTTTTTCCAAGTGGGACCCATTGTTTCAAGTGTGACCCATTTATCCAAGTGTGACCAAGTTTTGCAAATGTGACCCATTTTTCTAAGTGTGACCTATTTTTCCAAGTGCGCCCCTTTTTTCTGCAAGTGTGACGTTTTTCCAAGTGTGCCCCGTTTTTCCAAGTGTTACCCATTTTTCCAAGGATGAAAAACTTTTCTAAGTGTGATCTTTCAAATGCGACCAATGCCAACAGCGAGCCAATTTTCCAAGTTCGGCTCTTTTTCCAAGTGTGACCCTCGTTTCCAAGTGTGACCCGTTTTTCCAATTGTGACCCATTTTTTCAACTGTTTCCTATTTTTCCAAGTGTAAGTATGAATCTTTTTCCAAAATTTGACCCATTTTTCCAAGTGCGACCATTTTTCCAACTGTGACCCACTGTTCTAAGTGTAGCCTTTTTATTCAAGTGTTACCAATGTTTCTAAGTATGACCCATTTTTTTCAATAGTGATTAATTTTTTTCCAGTGTGATAAATTTTTCCAAGGGTAATCACTTTTCTGAGTGTGACCCATTTTTCCAAATGCGGCACATTTTTTTAAAGTGTGACACATATTTGTAAGCGCAATCCATTTTTCAAAATGTGACCCAGTTTTCCAAACGTGACATTTTCCCCAGGTTTGACCCATTTTTTCATATGTGATCCTATTTTCCAAGTGTTGACAATTGTTCCAAGTGTGACTCTTTTTTCTGAGTGTGACGCACATTTCCAAGTGTCACCCATTTTTCCAAGTGTGATAAACTTTTTTAAGTGTGACTGTTTTTCCAAGTGTACCCCGTTTTTTCAAGTGTGGCCCTCTTTTCTAAATATGATCCATTTTTTCAAGTCTGACCCACTTTTCCAAGAATGACCCTTTACACAAAGTGTGACCCAATTTTCTGTGTGTGACCCATTTTTCCAAGTGTGACCCTTTTTTCTAAATATGATCCATTTATTTAAGTGTGACCCACTTTTCCAAGAGTGACCTTTTATACCAAGTGTGACCCATTTTTCTATATGTGACCGATTTTCAAAGAGTGACCTTTTTTCCAATTGTGACCCATTTTTTTAAGCGTGACTCCAAGTACCAAATTTACCAAGTACAAGTATTTATCGAGCGTGACCCATTTTTCCAAATGTGACCCCTTTTTCAAAGTGCGACCCATTATTCCAAGTGTGACTAATTTTTCTAAGGTTGACCCTTTTTTTCAAGTGTGACCTATTTTCTTAAGTGTGACCCATTTGAAGTGACCCATTTTCCCAAGTGTGACCAATTTTTCTAAGTGTGATCCATTTTTCCAAGTGTGACCCATTTTTCCAAGTGTGACCCATTTTTCCAAGTGTGACCCATTTTTCCAAGTGTGACCAATTTTTCCAATTTTGACTCTTTTTTTTTCACTTTTGATCGGTTTTTCCAATTGTTACCAATTTTTCCAAATATGACCCATTTTTTTTAAAGTGTTACCTAGTTTTTTCAAGTGTGACTTACGTTTTCAAGTGTGACCCATTTTTTTATGTTTGGTAATTTTTCTCCAGTGCGTCTCACAAAAGGCCGCGTATCACTTAGCCTGCGAAACAGACTTATTTCCAGCTGTCGCTTGTCTCCGCCGAAAAATATCTCGATCTTCGATCGCTTGGAATTCTGTATTTCACTGGCGTCCAGGATCTTTCTTTGTAATGCTCTTTAAACTATTTCGAACAGAGTAGCAACAACTGTTTTTTTTTGTTTGTTTGTTTGTTTTTTTTTTCTGGAAGGCTGAAACCATGCATGATGACCACGATGGATCCACGAACCCGCCATTTGTATCGGACAATTAAAATATATAACCTTTTGCGATGTCAGCTTTGAAAAACGGAAAGAAATTACTTTCGATGAACTCTCGTGGCTGATGAAACCATTCGCTCGACGCGGCAGATCAAATTTGTCTCGGATCGAATGACAGTCCGCGAATTTGATCGATTGAGGCGAACAGAACATGGATTTGCCGCCATGCCCTAGTTCGCGCCATCCATTCTTTGATCGAATTTCGCGCGATGCATATACAGCGAAGCCTCTGGTTGTAATATTAACTATTTTAACTCATGTAACCAGGCTATATATGGTTGGTGATCTGGTTTACCGCATTAAATTATTCTGTCAAATGCTAAACGGCTCATACACCACAAACACCCACAAATTATGCAGTTATTCCAGATTTGTAATCTGATTAGCACGAGCACCATGACGTCACCGGAAATTAGAACCCATGTCCTGCTGGGTATTTCAGAGACTCATGAATCTCGTCCTGTTTACCCTAAGTCGTACAAGCAAACTTACACCCCTACAGTGATACAGGAGGGAGGGATAGGTGGATTCCACTCGGATTTTTTTAAAAGAAATTATTGTGCAGTTTCTTGATACCACGATTGTAGCATCAACTGATAACGAGTGGTTATAATGACCCTCAAAATATAATTCTTACAAAGAGCTGGAAACTGTTTTGAGCTACCTTAAGAGCATCTCTCTGCAAACTTTGAAATCCCGCGACAGGAGAGAAAATTCTAATTTCCATAATTCTTTTTGGAATTATTTTCAGCTAAAAGTATTGTTTTAGCCTGAGTGGGTTCAACTTTTTTTTTTTCTAAAATCAAATACCGGCCATTCCAAGTACCAAATTTATCAAGGTAAAGGTAATATTTGAACTGAGTCATTTGATCCATAGCGCCGGAGCCGCTCCTGGTTTCTAAAGTGTTAAGCGTTTAAGAGTATTTCTACACCCCACACCAACCACCTTCCTCTCCTTCACCCTGAACGAAAAACTACCACAGGGTTAACTCCAGTGTTAAATTCGGCGGCACCCATTTATACACATAGGCTGACAGAGGTATTGTGAGGGCAAAGTGTCCTACCCAAGGAAAAAAACACACCGAACCCCGATCGAATTAAACGAGGGCGCTAGTCGTCAGGGCCGCTACATCTTGCTCATCACTGAACGTGCAGGAGATCATCTTGCTCCAATTCTTTTAAAATTTAATTCTTGAAAAGTGTAACGTTGAACCCAACTTTAAGAAGCTCCCATACTAACGCACACAGCAAGGACTCCAAGAAAAGATTTAGAAGGTGAGCACAAACCAGGACCCCTTTAATTTATTGTGTGACAAAAACGAAAATGCTCTCCATCATACCACTTACAAATCGACAAGAGTATTCAAAATATCGGTATGGTCAACATCTACGAGACGTCAACTAACGTGATCGCCGACATTCTCACATATTTTATTTTTTCAGAGTCTACTTTGTACAGTCTTATTCTCAACCTTTCTAAAGTCTTTTCTGAAAGAATAATTGATTACAAAGAACATTTACATATACGTTCTGCTAAAATAACTAAATGACAAAATAATTGGCCAAGCACTTGTAAATAACAGACTTTGTATGACTGATGCTATCAAAGAGAGGTCGTAGAAATTTTTCATGAAACTAAAGCTGGATATCAGCGGATGGAATAAAAGCCCGAAGATGTTCTGTGTATCGGCAACATACAGACTTAACCTGAATTGTAAAAAAAAAAAAAAAAATGTAGTGCCCTCAAATGGGTGCCATACTTCATTGATTTTATTGCCGCAAAAAGTCATTTTATATTTTATTGTCACAATAGTTAGACTGTAATCGAGTCGCATTTTTATATCTTGTACAAATACTCTTTTATATTGTCCATTATTTAAAAATAACAAAAGCTCCAAAAGGAAAGAACGAGAAAAAAACCACTTGCGACGTTTGGAAACCAATCATTTTTTGTCAGGTTCTATTGAGGTGACAGGAAAATGCTAGTGGCATCAACCTTTCTATTTTTTCTCTAAACAAAACTTAATTACTTTTTTTTTCTATTTTCAGCATAGTCTAACATTAATATATTTAATAGCAATTTTCTTTTGACGTTTTCAAACGGAAGGAATATTAAAAAAGACATATCTGTATAATTAATTTAGGAGCGTCTGGGAGTAGTTATTAATTCAAGATTCATTGCGGAGATTTCAACATGATGGATCTCAGCAACGAAACGAACATTTCCCAAGAGCTGATCTGCTACGGAATACCAGTAAGCATCTTAGTTTTCAACTCAGAGATTTACATCACATTGATGGGTCTTAACATCTTAATTTCCATAACTGCTTCGGTTGGAAACTTGTTCGTTCTTGTGACAATATGGCGAAGTCTACATTTGCACTCTCCTTCGAACACACTGCTGTTCGGCCTGGCTATGTCTGATCTGTGTGTTGGACTTGTATCTGAGCCACTAACCGTTGGATTTCAAGCAGTTCTCTTCAAGAATTCAAGCAAAATTACCTCCTGTACTCTTGTGAAAACTCTTAGTTTAACATCTACATTTCTAACAGCAGTCACCCTGTTAACTGTAACGGCAATGAGCGTTGATCGCTATCTAGCGATATATCTGCACCTGAGATATGACCAAATGGTCACAGAAAAGAGAACAAGGAAAGTCATTTTATTCCTTTGGTTTATAAGTAGCGTGCCCTCAGTCATAATGGTGTTTGATTCTATGACCAGTTATTTAGTTATGATACTTATAATAACACTTTGCCTCGTAATTATTACGTTTGCTTGGATTAAGATTTACCAAGTTGTACGACATCACCAAGCTCAGATTCAAGATCAGATGGCTGTTGCTTCGCAATCATTTAACATGGCGAGATTCAAAAATTCTGCCATAAACACTATGCTCGTGTTAGTCATCGTTCTGTTGTGCTATACTCCGTTTCTCGTTTCTAAAATTTGTCTCACTGTCAACTTAAATCGTTCAAATGTTCTCTTTTTCGAGATCAGTCTTACATTTGTGCTCTTAAATTCCTCGCTTAACCCATTGGTGTATTTTTGGCGTCAGCGTGATCTTCGTGCACAAGCTAAACAACTTGTGATGACGTTTTGCTGTCAAACACAATAACAATGAGAGCTCTGCCGAAAAGAGGATATTGATCTGTTTGAAATAAAGTAATGGTTGAAACAGTATTACTATGTCTAGCAAGGTGACCAAAAATCTACTCTTGAGATGAGATTTTTGTCACATAGAAATCAAAATTTAAATGATGGAAGTTACTATCCACAATAGACTTTGGATGCTGCGCGAACTCTGATTGGTTCTTAAAGAGTTTTGTTTACCATCAGACGTACACGCAAACTAATATTCCCACCGTTGAACAAGGGTGAGGGGGGAGGTGGTCTCCGCTGGTTTTATTTTTTGGTCGTAATTAGACATGTAAAATTATGTTTTGCTGAATAAATAATCCTCAACTTGCTCTTCAAGGAATGACATTGTCTTTTTCGTAACAACGTCCTTAGTCCGCCATCTCGGTTTTACTACTATTTCTTAGAAATTCAGAAAATAACGCAAATTTAAGTAAAGTTACCCTAAAATGACAATAGAACGTAACGAGGTTCTGCAATGCTGCTTAAGAAAACCGTAGGGGGGAAATGAAGAAAAGCGTAATAACGCCAAGATCAAGAATATCAGATACGGCTGCTATGGTAATGCCAAATGATGTGAGGAAACAGGTGACACGTTAAAATGTCCACCACGGATAAATGAAAAAATAGTAGAAGTTTAAGCATCAAAGAGAAAAAGACAAGTTTAATTTGTCTGCACAGAAATACAAATCTCTAAACTACAATAGAACAGTGCACAAAGAAAACTAGAAAATGCAAAGCCTGAGTAAACATTTTTTTAAACCAAAAATATCTTAAACGAAATGTAGTGAGTGTGCTTAGTGAAGAGTTCATAGTAATTGCTTGTCAATTTTTTAACAATAAAACTAACAATCTCCTCTTACTAGAGACCAATCATTAAAGTCTATAAATTCTTAAGGTAAAAAAGCTTGGAAAGGAATATTACATTTATTGATTCGACCTCAATTGATCCCAATCCCAGTGAACAGTTTGTGTCATTGTCACGGACCTTCTTCCAGGAGAGAGGTCTGAAATTTCTATCAGTGTTATCAGTGATGTCCATTTGGTCTGATGGTTCTCTCCATATAAGGCGATACAAGGCATTACTTGCTGTGTCCGCTGACCTTGAGGCAATACAAAAAACATTTTCCGTGAGAACTAAGTGCACTTATTTTATTTAAAAACAGTCCTTCAAGCACTCCAAGGTTTATTTACCAATTAAAGCAACATAATGGTCCAATTTCGCTGTTCGCGTTTAACCTTGCCGTTACAAATTCAGTAGCAGAGGCAGGTCTATAATGTAAACCTTTCGTGAACTGAAAACACTGCTTCCCTATCCAGGCGCCTTTATTACTTCCAGGACTACTGCACTATTCTATTCTACCCTAGCTTCAAAATTGATATTTGTATTATCACTTTATTTTTGTTGATGAGATGACAAGACCACGGGTTAGCATCTTTTCGCCTCTTGCCTTTCTGTTAGCCACTCCCTCCGTGACCTATATGGAGCAACAGAGCACATAGTCATGTTGATGAAAAAATTAACACAGTTTATCGTGGGAAAAAATCTTGTCATCTGATCATCTGTTAAAAAAAAGAGAGTTGAAAGAAAACAATGACATTTTTGGCGCCGATTTCTCCTGAAGAGAAGGTTATCGCTTTTATTGCCGCAGGAAACATGCGTGTTTGTAAAACAGTTGTTTTCCTCGTATTCTATTCTTTGTTATATCTCTTAGTGAGTACGCGCGTTGTGATTGGTCAATTTAGCGGGCCGTATTCTCCTGTACGGCCCGCTAAAATTTAAAGTTGGCTTTGTTGCCAAACTGTTTCGTGATTTATCGCCAAGTGTTCTTAACTTTTATAGCAAGTGAAAGTTTAAAACTTTCTGATACTCTAAATTGTGTAATAAAGCATGCTAACGACTTAAAAACAATTTCAAACTGACTCGTTTTGCTTTCGAGGTGCGTCAGAAATTTGTAGCCCCTCCGAGTCCCCGCGAATAGAAACGTTTTCGAACTCGTCAGGCACACAGTAGAGATTAGATATGATAAATGTCTTACTAACCTCGTCTTCGCGGTCCGTACTGTAAGTTACGGATCCTAAGCGCTTCGCGCTTAGGCCATAAATCGAAGGGAAAGAAACTCGGTCCGTAACTTACAGTGCGGACATCGAACTCGGTCAGTAAGAGGTATGTCCATTTATCTAATTAAAAACAAGTACATAATTAGCATATAACCAACAAACTGTAACAGCGAAATCTCGTGCGGCTTTCAGCCAATGAAAAACAATCTTTTGGTCGTTTGAGGACGTGCAGTGAAACCATTGCGCCCAACTTGAATTAGCTATTCTGATTGTACGTGAGAAGGAACACTAAGACCTCGGCAAAGTTTTCGAAGCCCAAAACGCCGAAACATTGCGTTTTCGTGGAAGAAGGCTCAAGGTAATTACCTTTAACATGGTAGTCTAATTTATCTTGAGCCTGAGAAAGTTTAAGTGCCAATTTAGAAGAACCAATTTGTCTAGTTCAAGGAACCACTTAGTTGTTCGTCAACTAGGAGTTGATGTGGCGAGTTTGCGTTAGATTCACATACTCGTTGTATATCTAGCTCAGTTAAAGTGTTCTACTCCGTTTGCATTTCAGAATATAGCTACCACCAGAATGACTTGACACAGAAACAACACGAAGAAAAAAACGAAGTAGATACCAAGCAACAAACTTCATGAACTACTCGTGGCAAGAAACGTGGACGTGACGGTTAAGACGCCCGATTTCTATGGAGGTACGTTTTCCCGTTACGTTTGATACTATTTACTTGTTTGTTATTTTATGACTTGCCCGTAATTTTAATACACGTATCAGTGGATTTCTCACGATTTTCATGTTATATGTTGGACAATGTTACTTTAGCATAAATTTAAAACGTAAACTAATAATTTGCGTGGGAGCAAAGGTGTATCGGAGTGTTATATATATGAATTGATTAAGACTGGTCCAAGATCAAACTGCATTTTATACTATTTCTCTTGAAGCATTTCTTTTGAACAAATGTGCCCACAATCCTCCCAAGAAATTGGTGGGAACCTGGGCAATATTTCATCAGAAAACTTATTCAAGGTATTTGCAAATTGCCTGTGTATTGCAAATACTATGGAAGAAACTGTATTCCTGTTAAATAAAGTAAAGTTTGTGTCACCGCAGCCTAATTAAAGTAAGAGGTTGTATAGAAATGTAATTTCGGAGTAAGAAATGACCTTGCATCTTTTTTTATATGTCTGTTCTTTTCAGGTTCGCTTCCTCCGACCTTAAGAAGCAGTCAGTCAAATGCCCTCAGCTAGAAGTCCATTCCAGTGCAACCTGTTTAAATTTGCACATATTAGCGCCCAATGTTCTCAGTAACGCCTTGGCAGCGAAAGACACAAGTTTTCCCTTCTGGTAGAGGTTAGTACAGTTCATTGTGGGTAGGGTGGGGTGGGTTGTAAGTAGAGCTCTGGATGAACCTTAAAACTCGGCCAACATTTGGCCTAAATTCGGCTCAAATTCGGATTGTACGACTTATTCGGCTTAACTTAATTTAGTTAGTAATTATTTAGTGCTGGGTGGTGTGGGTTTGGGCCTTCCCTTTTCTTTTCCTGGGTTTCATAGTTCGGCCTTCGAATATTTCACTCGGTCTGTTATTCGGCATAACATTTTATATTCGGTTTTTCTTCGGAACAGTTCACCTTTATTTTCGACAACACATCGGATTCACCACTGCGTCTGCGCAACTCCCGCTTAGTGTTTTTGAAAGAAAAAAGTTTTTTTTTTCATAGTTCCTGTTAATGACAGTACTATCACTGTTATTGACAAGAACTTCAGGCCCTTTAATGACAGCAATAACGCTGTCATTAACAGTGTCGTATTTTTTTGGCTCTAGGGTTCATCCAGACGTAAATTTAATCTTATTAATTACAAAACTTAGGAGCTAGGGATTGAGAGCTTAACACGGGAATGAAGACTGTTTTGCTTTCTTCTTTCGTGTTAAGCTGTCTGTTTTCTAATTGAAGGTAGCTTATTAGTATAGGCTCTATAGTGCAGTGGGGATCTGGGACAAAGCACACACCCAAGTTAACTCGCTTACAAATTAAGCATAGGCAGCCTCCAAAATTGATCGACTGGACAAGAAGATGCGTTCTGCGAGAAGATCTTCGTTTATCTAGAAATTGAGCAGACAGTGAGCATACCATCAGTTTATTTAATAATCCTGGGAGGCTCATCTCACTTACAGGCGGTGTTAACAACCAGATATTTATGCGAATGTCTCTTTGCTAGCGTTGCCTTGTGAGACCAGTCTCTTTAGGGAATCCGCTTGCATTGCACTTTGCAGGCGCAGGAAGCTTAGACCGTCTACAAATTGTAGGCGTAAGTAGACTTCACATCTGGCGGAGAGCCTGGAGCCACCCTTGGAGCCTGGATCGACACAAGCTAACTCGAAAACAATTGTAAAGACCTCTTAAGTTAAATACTAAGACCCGGAGAAAGAAGAGCCAATTTGTCGCGGAATAGCAAGACAGTTATAGGGTAAATTAGCTATTTAGACTCGACTTCGGCTGACAACGACATATAAGAGAACTGGAATTAAGCGAGACAACATTGAAGACACTGGAATGTGGAGAAAAGAAGGCAAAGCAACTTCGGCTTCTAATCACATCTAATTTGCTTAGACAAGATAGTGTAGGTAATAAAGATAATAACTTGTATGTACCACACTGGTGAATATGGCTTTGATTTCAGATGCTAACGAAACGCGTTTGATTATATATTCGTCCATCTGGAATGATTTCGTAAAAAAACCACAATCTTTGCCTTATTTACTTACAAAGTACATACTATTACAGTTAATCACTCTGAGGTCGGTGAATAACTGTTCAGTAAGATAAGAAGCTTTCTAGGTAATAAAAAATCGTATTTATGAAAACAAAAAAACAAAAAAAACATGAAGGTTGTTGTTGTTGTCATTGTCT